AATGTAGATATAAATGTTAACAGAATGAATACATAATAATTACTCGTAGTGTAATGATAGTTAAAGTCTACATATTTTTATATATGAGGATATATAACCAAAAGTTTATTTAGTGTAAAAAAAATATATCTTAACCCCTCCCCCACCACCCACACACACACAAAAAGCCTATTGAAAGATTTTAAACTGGAAATTATATCTTCACCTCAAATGCTCATAGACATAAAAAAAGGAAAAAAAAGATGTGAGTAAAAGAAATACCTTCTTGAAGATAATAGAGAAAATACCCTCAGCTTTGGCTTAACCTATCTGAACTGGTGCAAACTAGAAAATGATTGTGAAACAAAATGATAGTTAAACAAACAAACATACTTATAAATCTAAAAAAAGAAAGTTTGAAAGAAGGTACAAATTTAAAAGATACTAATCAAACATATGCACAATGTGTCAAATATCATTGTGAACAAACTAACTTTTTACATATACAAGCAAAACCAAAAGATTCAAACAAACAAATAAGTTTTTTCATCTGAAATTGGAAATAAAAAATGTTCTCTCCTAGGCATAATTTGTGACTTATGAAATGTGATTATGGGAATCTTAAAACAAATTCTAAAATCTTAACCGAGAATATAGAAGTGCATAACTTACATATTGATAGACTGATTAGAGATGGGTGTGCTTAAAACTTGGTTGTAAGACACACTCGATTAAGTGTTGTATTAACTAAGCTCTACCTGGACCAATTCAACAAATAAACCCACTCGAATTTAGATATTTAGTCACTTGTGATATCAAGAAACACAACCATAAAGCAAGAAGAATGGATCTATATTAAAAAGAAGTAATCTAGCAAGTGAACGACAAAAGTAGAGTGAACGATTCTAAAGAGGATATTGAGAAGCTTGGATTAAACAGATAAAGAAAAACAAATTGATAAACCTGAATTGAAGCCGGAGAAATCGAAATCCCCAGGTCGCCGCCTGATTCCCGTATGGCGTCACTCAAGTCCGATTCGTGGTTAGCCGATCGACGATGAAGACCCAGCATTGGAAACCGTCC